ATTCAAGCCTTGAGACTAGCTTTAGAATGAGAAATTCAACGCCAATGAAATACATACACAAACTGCTTCCATGAAATTATGCAATACTGGGCGTCAGGTATAGGGCATTCGGTTGGCGAAAGCGCACTACATCATAAACAACGCGCATTTCTTCTCTTCTTCTTCGTTTCCTCGTCTGCTTCTTACTTTCTTCGTTCTCGTTGCGGTTCTTAGCGTTGTCATCTGAACTGGATGATCGTCAATTGAGTGAAGTCACCTGGATGAACCAAAAGATAGCCGGATTGCTTGGTGCTTTGAATTACGTTTGTTGTGAAGGAACTTAGGGTTTCGAGTTGTATTTCTTCCTCAAAGCTGTTCCCAACTCTTCTTATGGAATTATGACATTAGGCATTAGTTATCGAAATAGCATGCAGTCCGAACCCCAAAGATGAGAAGGCGTGGCTGCGTACTTAATCCACTTGTGGTGTAGCTGGGCACCATTCTATTGAACTGCTTTCGTTTTGGGACAACAGTAAACATGTATTTCTTGGCACAGAAAAATTGGCAGAAGATAGGTTTTTTGAATGGAAATATTCCACGGTAAACGCCATGCTCATGTAAAGCACGCAGCCACGCCCACTCCATCTTTGCGATATAGAGTGTATGAGTCTACTACGAGGAATAAAGAGTTTTGTGCAATAGATAACTTGTCTCGTGGTTCGTGTATCTGAGCAACGCCTTCCTTTCATTGTCCGTACGTCATTTCAGATCAAGCCAAGGTAAGGAATCCGAGAAGCAAGCAGAAAAGTTGCTGAAATGCTGCGGCGACCGCTCACTTCTATTGAAATCAAAGCTGACGACATTGATCATATGGAAAGGGTTTTGCTGGAAGCCTATCAGAAAAAAGTTCGTGGTTCTAATGCCTTATTTTTTTACTTTTCCTCATCAGAAGGATGAGGGTGAAAAGGAGGGGTCAGGAATTTCTTTCGCACACCGAAATCTTAGTCTGCCTTCGTGCAGTTCTTACTCTCGGTTAGAGGTATCGTTAAGGCTACCAGGTACCAAGTTGAATGGTTAGTTAAAACCATTCAACTCAAGCCTGTAAACATTACCATTGCTCTGGATTGAAATAATAAGTGGTAGGGCATTTGACAGCAGGGCCGCAATCATTTGGTCAGAATCAGGTCTCAGAGTGTCGTTTATGTAAGCCAAGGCTTACAAGTCGATCACATGAAAGACTTATGGACCCGTTTTAAGCAGAAACAAGAAGTACTGCTTGAAATATCCAATGCTGAAATACTTTTAAGGCATGATTTGTTTCTTTAAGCACTCCAACTTCGTTTTTTTCAGGGAGCTACTAAAAGCTCTGTGGACTCTGATGCTGGTAGTACAAGCTTCGGCACCCCCGCAAGTGAAGGTAAGGATAGAATCAGAAGAACCAGAAGGGTAATCATTGCCAGGCAACAAAAATTCGTCCAAGCCTGCCTAGCTCTCTTTGTGAAGCCATCCGATAAGATGGTTGTAGAGCAGTCTGCTATACGATTCCACTCCCCAGGAGTGTTCTGTAAGCTGTTTCGTGACCAGGAGCTTGTCCACCATTGGTGATACCTATGGTCCTTAGTGGTTCTGGAACAATTCACTTTGATCTACGACTGCCCAGCGACCGTTTTCAGAATTTTCACTGCATAATATAAGAGCTGTGGGGCGGCCGGCGCACAGTGTGGTGGCAAGAGGCGAATAACCTCGCCCACTTTCCAAGGGTCAAATCCTCTAGGACCGTGGGCGACGATTATGCCACCCAAGCCGGCTTTCACTCAGGCCAACCAAGCCTCCCACCCTATGGGAGAGTAATGACTCCAGATCCGTCTGAAAGGATAA